CACCCTTAGCTATGGGGGCGCTAGCGTCCGTCGGTGACAATCTGGTGGACAAGGTATTTGGCCGGGGTCGAAAGGGAAATAGTAGAAAAAGCAGTACTCGAGCAAGCAAGAGACGATCTCAGAAAAGACGATCGAAGCTACCACCCACTAACAAATTCTCCAGGGGGCAACGTGCAAGGAAGCGCAAAGGAGACGGTTTGAAGAGGGAGGTTGAAGGTCTGGGAAGGCAGCTGTTTGAACATGCAAAGTCGAGAGTACAGTCCGGCATCAAGTCAGGAGCTAAGAAGAGAGGTAGAAGACGACGATCCTCAAACCCTCCAGAAACCATTACTGACCGTATCCGAACTCGCATAGAAAATACCCATAACCCTTCGTTTATACCTCAGAGCTTTAACATTTAATTTTTTCTCGTTATAGTAAGTATGGACTTTTCATCACTGCTGTCTCTGAAAGGAGGGTCTGCCTCTTTACTCCGCGTAGCAGGTCTGTCTCTACGATCTCAACCCAAGTACTCTGAGATTCTCCCCTCCCTCCAAACATGGGGACAAAATGTGCTATTTCTGGGTCAGAGCAGCATGGGGAAATCCCATTACCTCAAGGAAATACTTCGAGAGGTAAAGCCGGAACGACTTTACGTCATCTCCAATACTTCACCGGAGCAATACAGGCAGGAAGGCACGGAGTTGAAACATTACAGTGCAATGCCTGAGTGTATCGAAGAGACGGACATTCAGCCCAAGTCCTTTGTCATTATAGATGATATACGTGTCATGGGACTGAAGCATGGCAGTCAGAGGGAATGTCTTTACAAGTTTTTCACCATGTATAGCCATCATTATGAACTTAATGTGTTCTTTCTCTCTCAAAGCTTTGATAACATCAAAGATATGAAGATAAATACCAACTTCCTCTATCTTTTTCGCTTTACAGATAAATCCAACATCAAACGCTATCTTCATACTTTATTTGGCGGATCCTGTTTGAAAGCTAATCTTGTCTATAAACTCTATGAAAAACTATTAGAAGCTTGTTGGAGACCCTTTCTAGCGGTCGATGCATCACGCAATGAGTTTTATACTCACTGTGATTCTATAACATCGAAGGTTGTGTTTGAATAAAATATTTTCTGCCTATAGTAAGTATGGATGGTGTCAGTGTTCGCATTATACCCACCCACAGTGAGTGGGATGCGGTTACCGTCACTAAGATTGGAGACACCTGGGAGGTCACATTCCCTAGAGTAAAACTAATTGTCCAAATCGAATCCGAAGTTGATAGTTTTGAGTGGATTGCTGGCTGTGAAGCACGGGGGGTAGGAGTGGATGAGATTGATTAAGCCCGTTGTACAGAAATGGAGCGAATACGGGTGCACTTCCAACCTATCTGCATCGAGTGCAACGGCCGTACTCACCCAATACCACCAGAGAAGAGAGACGAGACCATGAAGATGATATTACAAAACCCCCAGGATATCCTGAGTAAAGGTGACACCGTGTGGGAGGTTCAAGGTACTCCTCCAGTACGAGGTGGAGATTATAAGAAATTTTCCGGGCAAGTGAGAGAAGCACTGGCCTATATCCCCGAAGAAGATCGCCCATTTCCTATCTCCCAAGTGAAATCAAACCCTCGAGTAAAGGCTATGTATGATAGAACATTTAAGAACAATCCGGATCTGATAAACCCATCCTCGGTTACTAATGCTGTTGCATCGAATCTCCTCGATTATGATCAGAGTTCTGGAATGGCAAGAGGGTCCATAGCAGAGGCTAGAATGAGGCGAAACATCTCTGCCGCTAGTATCCCACTGCAAACCGCCATGGAGCCAAAGTTTGATAGAATAGTGATAAATACATTTGGTAAACTCCTAGTAGACCATAAGATACCGGAAGCCTTTCTGCAAAGCAGCCACTTCAGTGCAAGGCCGCAACTACACCAAGTCTATCAGGAGGATGAGCAGGGGCTCAGAGGTAGAATGGAAAACACTAGAGATACCCTCGAATTTCAAATCCTCAAAGACTATGCTACTCTGGTCAACCAAATCAATCAGTTTCACCTGTCGCGTTATCCATTCCAGCAGATTGCAGCAGCAGCCAACCTTAATGCGCTTCCAAACCACTCGAGGAGTAATGTGAAATTGGCTGCAATAAGAACTCAGCTTCTAGCCATACCAGGATCCGCAGACAAATATTCCGGTATAGGAGATATGATCAACGCCTACACTCGAACCAAAGAAGCAAAACTTATCAACGCAGAACAATTTATGTTAGGTCTCAAAGAGTACATGGCTGATGATGCCACCTTTATCAAAAGTGTCTTCAAGAATCGGCAAGTGGCTAGCAATACAAGGAGTCCCTATTACCGAACACTTGCTATTCTGAAAGGAAAATCCCTGGTATACTAGGTATGGATGTGGAGCTGAGCAACGTGGACATCGAGTCTGCGCTGAAACACATTCGCGGGTTCCGAGGTGTGACTAGCTATGATCTCCTGCCTGCCTTAAACCATGGCGAGTTTTGTGAGTGTAACACGGACAACATACTCCCGATATTGGACAAACCCGAAGGGGGACACCATTGGCTGACGGTGTGTAGGGAAGGCGATAATGTTCTGATATTTGACAGCTTCGGGCGTGCATTGATGCAGATGGCCGAAGACTATAAAGAACCGGAACTAAAACAATGTTTTCTTAATGTTTATTCCGGCTGCAACCTGTACACCAATACGCAAGTCATTCAAGATAGAAGCACAGCGGTCTGCGGACGTTATGCCATCCTGGTAGCGAAAGTCTTCTCAAAGACTGGTATAGACGGAGTATTGGAATTCCTCTCCTGTACGTTCTCTCACGATACCCTTCACAACGATCAAGTCATGGTTGGTGGGGATTGGCAAGATGATCTTGCCGATGAGCTACATAAACCTAAGCGAGTACATTTCCCACGCAGAAAAGTGGACGTTTACGGCAAGGACGATGTATGGAGTGCTGATCTCGTAGAAATGCAGCCCTTTAGCGAATATAACGAAGGAATTAGATATATTCTCAATGTTATAGACATATACACGAAGTATGCTTGGAGTGTGCCACTTAAGAGCAAAACCGGGGATAGTGTTGTCTCAGCCTTTAAAACCGTCACAACCAATCGGAAACCTAAGCTACTATGGGTGGACCATGGCTCGGAATTTTATAACAAAACGTTCAAGGAGTGGTTGAAGAAAAACGACATTCACATGTACAGTACAGAGAATGAAGGAAAAGCCGTCGTCGTTGAACGTTTCAACAGAACGCTAAAATCTCGTATGTGGAAGCACTTCACCGCTCGCTCGACCAACGTCTACATCGATGTGCTGCAAAAACTTGTCGACAACTACAACAATAGTAAACACCGTACAATTGGGATGACCCCCATGGAAGCCTCCCTAGGGAAACCGATTGAGCAACTGTATGAGCCCATTGCGGATGAGCCTGTCTTTCAAGTCGGAGATAAAGTTCGCATTACAGTGGAAAAAAGAATGTTTGCGAAGGGATACACACCCAACTGGACCGAAGAGGTATTTGTGATTCGTAAGGTTCTCCCCACTTATCCGGTCACCTACAAAGTGAAAGACCTTGCCGATGAACCCATCACAGGAAGCTTCTACAAACAGCAGCTCATGAAGACTGCGCAAGCTACATTTCGAATCGATAAGGTGTTGAAAAGACGTAAGGGTAGTTTGCTGGTCAAGTGGAAGGGATACCCCGAAAAGTTCAACCAATGGGTATCGCAGAAAGAAATGAGGTATATTTCCAAGGATAGTAGTAGAGGGAAACGATGATGCAGTGCACAATGCAGACTACTGCAAGAAATCTGCTTTCTGCTGTTATTGCTGATCGACTGGCAGAACAAGGTCATGTAGACCTACCACAATGTGTATCGTCGCCGGAGTCGAAACCATCTCGGCTTTCTAGAGTTTTGGTACGAGTGTGTCGCTTAGTCAGGTGCAGTGGATCGAGATTTCAGGTGCTGATGCAGCAACTGTGTTTCAACTCCAGAACGGGTCGTACGCAATTTCTTACATTTGCAAAAGAACTATTTAAAAACGGTATCAGCCATGTTAAAATTGTGGCCCTGTACTTATTCAGCAGCGAGTTAGCGAACATCTGTATGGAGAATTCAACGGAACTGGGATTGCACTATGTACATCATGTCATGACCTGGCACTTAGATTACATGACCACCAATGTTTCGCCCTGGTTGGCGGAAAAAGGAGGTTGGCAAAGTTTTGAAAACACCCTTACACACGACTTCAACTGGTCAAATCGCTCAGTATGGACTCATCCCCGTTCAGCCTTTTTGGCCATAATTTTTCTCATACTAATGGTTGAATGGATGTGAGGAAAAATTCCCGGTACAGTAAGATCAAGATGGACTCCTCAAGCAATGACACCCCATCAGCCGAGCCATCAACTGCGAGCAACAGCGGAACCTATCAGAAAGTGAAGGGGCGTTTGAATAAAGTTAAACTTACTCAACAACTACTCCTGCTTGCACCAGTGCTGTTCGGAGCCAGCAATGTGGTGGCAGAGAAATCCACTCAAACCTCACCAGCCGAAAGAACAAGCATCATAACTACATTCATACTGGCCATCATATGGACTTTAATCTCATTTTTATGTCATCATTGTGAGCATAAATTTACGCAAGTATATAAGCATTTTCTCAAGCTGGGGAAATATATGCCCGCAGATACTGAACTTGATCAATTTGATGATATATGGACTATGCTGCGCACACACTGCAAACCAAAGTATGTAGGGTAATATTTTATGATGCGATGAAGATTATTATACCGCACAATGCACTATATCCTGCAATATAATTGAGGCACAAGCCTGAAATATTTAACAAAAATGTAGAGTGTTGGAGCCAGCTCCACACGTCAAGAAAGGAGGAATATTAGACAGAAGAATGGCGGGGAGTTTTGCATGAAAATGATGAAACATGTTCAATGTGGGGTCCTGCCCATTAAATGTCCTTGTGACCATATGCAAGTGTGGCCATGCCATCATCCAGTATATACCGCTTGCAGTCGAATGGAGACAATGCCACCTTGGTGGTTACCTCCTCATACACTGTGTGGCAATGTGATCGGAGACCCGTCATAGGCCTGGCAGACACACGATGACTGAGCAGTGCATCTACATAGTCCTTGTGGGTGATGGTATTTGCCAGGACTGCCTTCCGAACACCCTTGGCTCGTTTGGCCGATTCCTGCCCGATGTAGGAGTACATCTTCGATCTTAGCCCTACAAACTCCACCATGGATTTCCCACCAAGCTCATCTTTGAATTTGCCAACCACTTTCTTATTGGCAGAAGTGTACTGAGGATGGTCAGTGGGAAAGTTGCTGGTGTCATACAGAGACAGATCCATCTCTGCATAAACATCACCGGTGGTTATGTGCACAATAACAGAGTCGGTGTCGGTGTACAACAGCCGGATTCTGCTACCATACTGCTCCTTCAGCACATCGTAGTAGAAGGAGTACATGTGTACCTTTGACAGGTCTAGTATCGACATACCCACATAGACCGGCTTGTTGAGCTTGATCTCAGTGTGCTGCTTTTCTATCCCGACAAGCCCGTTCGGGAAAATGTCATGCCGCACATATGTAGGCTTGCTCACTGCCCTCAGTACCTGCTCCTCACTTTCTTCTCGCAAGAGATCGATGCGTGTTCGATTACGAACGTTCTCCATCGTCTTGCCAAAGACTGAGTTGTTCATCAGCTGCAGCATACAAACAGGCAAACATGACACATGAGAATCATATCATGCCATTCCTTCACATCAGCATATTTTCAATTAGCATACTCCACGTCACACTTGCACCATACATGCAACAACAAAAAACAACAACAACAACATACGAGACTGCACACAACGGTTGCATTTACCTTGTAAAAGCTCTTCTCAAAGTCGGTTGTAGCCCTCGTGCGAAGTGCAGTGTTCAGATTGATGTAGGGAGCCATCCAGGCACTCTGCTGAAATCCCAACACCTTGTGAACAGCAGTCACCACCATGCCCAGACGCGAATACAGCTGCAGTGTACGGTAGTGTAACACATACTTGGACTTGGGTAGGAGACTGGGTGTCAACTTGACTCCATCTACGGCTGACACTTTGAGCTCCTCCACAAGTGCTTGTTGGTATGGTGATAGCTTATCTGAGAATGTTCTCATCACTTCCGGTGCGAGTGGATAATCATTGAAGTAGTAGTGCAGCGAAGAGGGTACCTCAAGATCACACTCCACAATGAACCCAGTGCTCGAATCTACAGGGTGTGCCAGTATCTCGGACAGGTTCTTGTCACACCAGGCAAACTCAGATGTCGGCATACTCTGGCACATAGCCCAGCCATACAGGTTGTTGGCATCAAGGTATAGCAGGTATGATGTGGGCTCGGCAGGATTGTACTGATCCATCGTTGGGTTGTTGGCCTTGCCGTACCGCTGCGACGCCATTGAGATGCCCCCACGTAGACCGGCTTCGACAAACAGATGCATGTCTACATCCGTGAGCAGCTGCAGTTCAATCTGGGTGAACCGTAGTAGAGCATCCCATGCATATCCTACATAACACCATACAACACACCAGAACACAAACACGAAAGTCAATACACCATGCAAAAAGTATAAAAATACACCGACAAGAAAGCACAAGAATACTAACAGAGAACACCATCTAAAGGAGAGAATGCATTGGACAACAACAAAGACTGATGAACATACCTGGGAGAGTAAGGTAATGGGCTGGATCCAACCCATACGTCTTGTATGCCGTCTTGCGGAAATGCTCAAAGACATCTGCTAGAAGATAGACATCTGTTTGCAAATAGAGGTCATGATATGCCTCCATTGTACTGCACTCAAATGTCTGCAAAAAAAAACAAAACAAAAAAAACACATCAACGCACACACACAAACGCACACATCCATACACACAAGCATCCACACATCCACAGATGGAGAGCAATGAGTACAAAAAAATGAGTAGAGCACATCACAACAGCATTCAAAAGTCATAAGTAGAGCACAATAATGCAAAAAGCATGGCATCAGGGAAATTCCGAGGGTCAATACAGAAGGCACAAGCTGCTTACCTGCCATACGTTCTGAGCATGGGCATAGTCGGCATCACTGATACCTTCTCCAGTCAAACTAGACTCAAATGCTGATTTAGGTGGCAGCTGTGTCTCATCAAACCGAGCAAAGGAGTCCATGTACTCGTAGGGGTAGACACCCTTACGCAGGAGAAGGTCATGATGGGCCAATGTACGAGTAAGCTTGAAGGCATCTTCCGGGGTGTTGCTCACCAACGAGTCCAGAGAGGAGTTCAAGAAGGCCATGGAGTCAATGAAGCGGTACTGGCGCCACTTGAATGAAATATATTTCTCCATGTTGTTGGCGATGACACTGATCTCACCAACCTTCTTAATCCGCTTACGCTGGTTAGAGTCCTCGTACTCCACCTCTTCAACCTCGGTCATACCAATGTGGGCGATGAGGTGGTGAGCATCGTACCCTTTCAGGTTGTGAAACACAACCGGAATGATCTGGCGATCTGGGTAGATACTCAGCTGAATATTACACTGGTAGTGTGCAGCACCACGGTAGTTGCCTGTGCAGATATTCAGAAAGAGGGGAATACACAAACATAGTAAACATCTACAGTGAAGGTGATACCACAGACAATACAATTCAATACACCGTGATAAAACACAGATGCAAACAGCTACAAAGACATGAAAATGCACTATACACATACGCATATCTACACACAACTGCAAAACAACAAAAATAAACAAAAAATTATAATACTTACCAGTGAGATGATCATGATCACGAACACGATCTTCTCCAAGTACTTCATCACATATCCAGCAGTTGACTGCGTTCTGAAACTCAAGCTCCAGTTCTGCCGTCATGCGAATTGGCCTGATATCAGCCAAATCCTCCTGGATACTGCCTTCCAACTCTTTGAGACTGTCGAAAAAGTTGTGAATGGCATTCTCACTGCAGTCGTCAAACTCGCCACGGACTTCACCGTTGGATCGGATGGCAGCATATCTACAAGAGCATAAAAGAAGAGGGAAAGTAAGAATAAGTGATTTTTTGAAAAAATGGAATCACACAAAATGCACATACTACAATACGAACACAATCAGGGGAGAACAAGACAAGAAGAAAATAACAGGAAGCACTGTGCAGGCATGAGTACAGCAAAAATTAGTCAAAAACAACACCAACAACAAAACATACCTGATGCTGCATGGTACATGACGGGCTGTGCGTACAGTGCTGCTGCCATGCTGTTCCTCCATCGGCTCAATGATGGCCTCCGTATCAGCGTAAATGATATATGGAGCCACCATCCTGTGCTTCAAATTTGTATATTTGAGGATGCTGTCCTTTGCTGTGGGCATGACTACTGGCACAGGCTTCATCACCTGACATCTCTCGCTGTGATGCTGCAGGGAGTCTGCTGTTTTGTGTGCGGAGAGGCATCGGAAGCAATAGTGTGTTGCCCGCTTGTTCTTATTCTCACATGCACGACTGAAGTTTTTTATCCATGTGAAGTGGTTGTCATGTAGAAGCAGGTTGATTGGAGTCTCCTGTCGCTCGCTGAGATACAGTGGGTACAGATTCCCCTCGTAGCCAAACACATTGATTGCAAGACCATTCTGTAACTCCACTTTGGGTACATCACTGAGCGTTGCAGGGAACATCACACCATCGAACCGCAGCTCATCAACGTACTGGGTGTACCTGGATACACGCTGTGGGTTGTTGTCGATGGGATGCATCGCTGACAATAACGCCCACATCAAACACCTGTCATCGTTGTTCTTTACGTTAATGATGGCCTTCTTTTTTTCTAATTTGGGCGGGATATCAGCTGCACCACCTACAGAACACCACAAAAATACAACGAAGGTTTTTCTCAGAGTTACACCACATTACAACTACACCCTCTCGACAATCACGAAAGACTGTACATCTGGTACAAAACATACATCTTCAACTTTCCACAAGAAATTCGACAGGCTTCGAACAAACACTGCCGGATGAACAGAAACTCACCTCGAAGAGGAGTGTACTTTGCTGTCGACACATCCAGCTGTCTCACTCGAGAAACGGTCCAGTCAGATCCGTTCTGCACCCACTTATCAATAAGACCAGTGATCCTCGCCACCATCGTCTTGACTGCACTATCAATATCCCCTTCGCTGAGGATCCGAGCCGGTCTACTTCTAAAAAACGGGAAGGCAGACGTACTACCCGTGGCTGACTCTCGTGTCATCTCCACCCTCAAAACTAAAACCACCTTGAAAGGGTGAGACTGAAGCTCCTCGAGCAGAACCTGTCGGAGCTCGTCATGATGGCTGCTGAAAAAGACGAGAGGATCAGTGCCTGAACCTGGCAAAGAAAACTTTTTCAAAAAACCTCGCACGGCACTCGAGGTGGGCTGTCTGGGCTGCCTGGATCTTTTTGCACTTGGCTCCGCCATCGTCACGTAACCTCCAGCACTGCCTACAACATACTGAGGAAAAATCTCCTCGTACAGCGTATATGAGGTCGGCTATCACACTAGTATAATGACACGTGTACACTAACTAATTAGTCCACCTTGTGTTGCACTGCGTCTTTTCCGCAGGGCCACTGAAGGTCGCACGCTCCGCGTGCTTATGCGCGCATGCGCAATATGTCATTCACTTCACATCTACGATGTGCAAATCAGGGAGTAGTACGTATTTTACTACTCCCCGGTGAAATGAATGCACCGAACGTGCACAAGTGCACGGTCGCCACGGAAAAGAACATGATGACATTTATGACATGGCAGGGCCAAAGGTCAAACCCTAGGGGGTCCCGAGGCCAGACCAAGCGCGCCCGATACAGTGTGCCTTATTCAACCCAAAGGTCAAAGGTCAAACCCTGGGGGAGTCCCGGGGCCAGACCAAGCACGACCGACACAGTGTGCCTTATTTGGCCCAAAGGTCAAAGGTCAAAAAGTGGGCCAGAACCCGCCCCGCACTTACTACTCTCGTCTTTGCCTGTGAGCTGTGATCATTGTAAAAAATAAATAAATAAAAAATAAATAAAAAAGAGCCTGTTTTACTTCCTGATGAAGCACGTACAGTTAGTTGTGGACGGTAGTAATGCCATGCCTACAGTCAAATGCTATCAGAAAGAAAGAGTATTGTGGCAAGCCATACGTCTACATACCATCTCAATGAGCAGATGAGAGCACGAGCAAAGGATGTAGAGTGGCAAAATAACTTCTGACCACGTGTTTTCAGGATTTCCGCAAATGGGAGGGCTCTCCATCTGAGATCGGATCTCAGGAGCTGGTCTCACGTCTGCCGGGTGTTTCAGATGAAGACATTATTCACAGAGTGGACGCAGTGACAGCTTGTCTGCAGGCAGGGATACTATTTGCCAAGATTAACTTCCGAATGATCCCAACAATGAATGACTACCTGCAATAATGGTTTCATCTCTCATTACATGGATAATTAGAGGAAAGATTTGATACACCGACTATTCTGCCACAACCCTGCATCAAAGTTGGAATGGAGAGCAATCAATTGAGAAGCGATCATGTCTTATAGTGCTAAGAAGTGGTGGGGCTCGTGAGAGATAAGGTGGCAGCTTCAGATGCCGATCGACGATATGCATAATTTCCTGGAAGTTTGACAATGTGCAGACTTTCTTCCATTTTTGTCCCAAACCAAGAGCATTATATCCCTTGCTGAAGCATTATAATCAGCATTATAAGCCAGTTTTTGGAGCATTATGGTTAGCATTATATGAACATTTTCGGAGCATTATCCGCTGGACCCTAACCCACATTCAATGACCCAGAAACTTTGGCACTGCTGTGAATGCTTTAGTCGCAAAGTGAAGATTCACGGCGAAAAGCCCCAAAATTGGAGACAGGGCATTCTCAGCTTCCAGCATCCCTGGCCGAGTTGTTTAGAGAAAGTTGGCTGTTATTCTTGGTGTAGCTTCCTACGTCCAGCTATACACGGGCAGAAAGGTGAGAAATTGTCGAATTTTGACCATTTTTTGACCACCTGTCAATTTTAATGCACCCCTCTATAACATGACCCAGATGTAATGTGATTTGTCGCATTGATTTGATTTTTGGTTTGCTTGTAGGCCGCTGGCACCCACATTCAATGACCTAGAAACTTTGGCACTGCTGTGAATACTTTAGTCGCAAAGTGGAGATTCACGGTGAAAAGCCCCAAACTTGGAGATAGGGAATTTTCAGCTTATAGCAGCCCTGAGCGAGTTGTTTAAAGAACTTTGGCTGCTTTTCTTGGTGCACCTTTCTACGTCTAGCTATACACCAAGATCAGGAGTGTCATTTTCCAGGTTTTGATGTTCAAACGGGCAGAAAGGTGAGAAATTGTCAAATATTGACCATTTTTTGACCACCTGTCAATTTTAATGCACCTCTCTATAACATGACCCAGTTGTTATGTGATTAGTCGCATTGATTTAATTTTTGGTTTGCTTGTAGGCCGCTGGCACCCACATTCAATGACCCAGAAACTTTGGCACTGCTGTGAATGCTTTAGTCGCAAAGTGAAGATTCACGGCGAAAAGCCCCAAATTTGGAGATAGGGCATTTTCAGCTTCCAGCAGCCCTGGGCGAGTTGTTTAGAGAAAGTTTTCTGTTTTTGTTTGCGCAACTTTCTCCGTCCAGCTATACAACAAGATCAGAATAGTCATTTTCCGGTTTTGAGATTGTAGCGGGCAGAAAGGTGAGAAATTGTCTAATGTTGACTACTTTTTGACCACCTGTCAATTTTGATGCACCTCTCTATAACATGACCCAGCTGTAATGTGAGTGGTCGTATTGATTCGATTTTTGGTTTGCTTGTAGGCCGCTGGCACTCACATTCAATGACCCAGAAACTTTGGCACTGCTGTGAATGCTTTAGTCGCAAAGTGAAGATTCACGGCGAAAAGCCCCAAATTTGGAGATAGGGCATTTTCAGCTTCCAGCAGCCCTGGGCGAGTTGTTTAGAGAAAGTTTTCTGTTTTTGTTTGCGCAACTTTCTCCGTCCAGCTATACAACAAGATCAGAATAGTCATTTTCCGGTTTTGAGATTGTAGCGGGCAGAAAGGTGAGAAATTGTCTAATGTTGACTACTTTTTGACCACCTGTCAATTTTGATGCACCTCTCTATAACATGACCCAGCTGTAATGTGAGTGGTCGTATTGATTCGATTTTTGGTTTGCTTGTAGGCCGCTGGCACTCACATTCAATGACCCAGAAACTTTGGCACTGCTGTGAATACTTTAGTCGCAAAGTTAAGATTCACGGCGAAAAGCCCCAAACTTGGAGATTGGGTATTTTCAGCTTTCAGCAGCCCTGGGCGAGTTGTTTAGAGAAATTTGGCTGTTTTTCTTGTTGCACCTTCCTACATCCAGCTATACAACAAGATCAGGATGGTCATTTTCCAGGTTTTGAGGTTCGAACGGGTAGAAAGTTGAGAAATTGTCAAATTTTGACCATTTTTTCACCACCTGTCAATTTTAATGCACCTCTCTATAACATGACCCAGTTGTTATGTGAGTGGTCGTATTGATTTAATTTTTGGTTGGCTTGTAGGCCATCGGAACCCACATTCAATGACTCAGAAACTTTGGCACTGCTGAGAATACTTTAGTCGCAAAGTGAAGATTCACGGCGAAAAGCCCCAAATTTGGAGATAGGGTATTTTCAGCTTTCAGCAGCCCTGGGCGAGTTGTTTATAGAACTTTGGCTGTTTTTCTTGGTGCGCCTTTCTACGTTCAGCTATACAACAAGATCAGGAAGGTCATCTTCCAGGTTTTGATGTTCAAACGGGCAGATAGGTGAGAAATTGTCAAATATTGACCATTTTTTGACCACCTGTCAATTTGAATGCACCTCAATATATCATGACCCAGATGTAATGTGATTGGTCGCAGTGATTTGATTTTTGGTTTGCTTGTAGGCCGCCGGCACCCACATTCAATGACCCACAAACTTTGGCACTGCTGTGAATGCTTTAGTCGCAAAGTGAAGATTCACGGCAAAAAAAACCCAAATTTGGAGACAGGGCACTTTCAGCTTCCAGCAGCCCTGGCCGAATTGTTTAGAGACAGCTTCCTACGTCCAGCTATACAACAAGATCAGGATATTTATTTTCCGGTGTTGAGATTCAAGCGGGCAGAAAGGTGAGAAATTGTCTCATGTTGACCATTTTTTGACCACCTGTCAATTTTAATGCACCTCTCTATAACATGCCCCAGCTGTAATGTGAGTGGTCGTATTGATTTGATTTTTGGTTTACTTGTAGGCCGCTGGCACCCACATTCAGTGACCCAGAAACTTTGGCAGTGCTGTGAATAATTTAGTCGGAAAGTGAAGATTCACGGTGAAAGGCCCCAAACTTGGAGATTGGGTATTTTCAGCTTTCAGCAGCCCTGGGCGAGTTGTCTAAAGAAATTTGACTGCTTTTCTTGGTGCACCTTCCTCCGTCCAGCTATACAACAAGATCAGGATGTTCATTTTCCAGGTTTTGAGGATCGAACGGGCAGAAAGGTGAGAAATTGTTAAATTTTGACCATTTTTTGACCACCTGTCAATTTTAATGCACCTCTCTATAACATGACCCAGATGTAATGTGATTGGTCGCATTGATTTGATTTTTTGTTTGCTTTTAGGCCGCTGGCACCCACATTCAATGATCCAGAAACGTTGGCACTGCTGTAAATACTTTAGTCGCAAAGTGAAGATTCACTGTGAAAAGCCCCAAACTTGGAGATTGGGTATTTTCAGCTTTCAGCAGCCCTGGGCGAGTTGTTTATAGAACTTTGGCTATTTTTCTTGGTGCACCTTTCTACGTTCAGCTATACAAGAAGATCAGGAAGGTTATTTTCCAGGCTTTGATGTTCAAACGGGCAGAAAGGTGAGAAATTGTCAAATATTAACCATTTTTTGACCACCTGTCAATATTAATGCACATCTCTATAACATGACCCAGCTGTAATGTGAGTGGTCCTATTGATTTGATTTTTGGTTTGCTTGTAGGCCGCTGGCACTTACATTGAATGACCCAGAAACTGTGGCACTGCTGTGAATAATTTAGTCGCAAAGTGAAGATTCACGGCGAAAAGCCCCAAACTTGGAGATTGGGTATTTGCAGCTTTCATCAGCCCTGGGCGGGTTGTTTAGAGAAATTTGGCTGTTTTTCTTGGCGTACCTTCCTACGTC